GTGGCTGGTAAGGAGGACATGGCTGGATATGGGCTGGCATACTTAGAGGTTGAGACACTTGAGTGTTAGATGCATGCTGTCCTATCTATGAAGCCACCATCTGAGTCAAGGTCTCAACTTGATCACTGAGCTGTCTTATGGTCTGGAGATTTATATTGTCTGCTGCTGTGTCTTGTGGCTTGTTGTTATCCCCTCCTGTTTCAACTTTGGTACTGTGTGCTTGTGTTGTCCTTTGTCTAGGGAGTTGGCCCAGTCGCCGTTGGTGCTCATTTTCATCGTTCAAGATTTTCATGACTTGGCTGAGGATTTCCTCATCTGTGTCTTGGTTGTCTGCAATTAGAGGCCTCAGTCTCTGTCGGAGGTCTGCATGTTTTGTTCCCAAACCCTGATATATAGTATGGAGAAAAACTTTTTGGATGGTCATGGGGTCATATGCGATGTCTGTACTGGTATGCCGTGTTTGGAAAAGGAGTTTCTGTTTTAGCCCAATCATGCGGTATAGGAACTGCTGGGGTGGTTCTTGGTCTGATTGCCTGGCGCACATCAACTCCTGGATGATCTCAGTCAATGATTTCTCACCTAGGTGGGACCTGAGGAAGCCTTTGAGCTCAGATACAGTGATTGAGTCTTTGTTCTCTAGCATCCCCTTAAAGGCTCCTGGTTTTATTATCCTCAACACCCCCTTCAGCCTCCGTGAAACCCTCTATCATTCCCTCATCAATTTGTCTACTGATGTTGTTGTAGTTTAGGTCAGAGCTCTGATCTCCAATCTGACCACCATGTACTTTGAAGTCTTTGCGCTGTAGGTATGGTAAGTCCTTCGGAAGCACATGTTGCTCTGGGTTCATACATGGCATGTTGTACCACCTTGACTCACCCTGACTGAGAGAAATTGTGTTTGGTGGGGTCACATTAGATTTATACTGTCGAAGTTTCTCACCCAATTCTTTATACATCATTTTCAATTCTTCTACAGGCTGCATCATTGTGTTGAGTTCAGTCATGGGGTAAGGTTGGGGCTACATGTCTGTGCTGTAGGTGAATGAATGAGGTTGTGGTGTGTTGTGTTTGACTGTTGCAGACTGAGTGCGATTAGGTGTAATATGTGAACCAACATCATTTAATACACCAGCATCAGAATTATCAGTAGCATAGACATTTGTTAGCTTATATATCAAGTCGTTCAAACTCAGTAGCTGACCCATACCTTTGTCTTCCAGTCTGAGCAAGGCATCAGACTGCAAGTAAGAGATGACAAAGTCCATACAGCTTTCTTCATCATTTGGGTCCAGTTCCTCTCCATGCTGGATGCTGGTAGCAATGTCTTTTGCCACTTGATAGACGTTGTTGCTTGAAAGTTTGAACAGCTGTTTCTTGATGTTCCGTAATAGCTCTTTGTGAACCCCTGCCATGGTATTTGGTTCTACCGCAGCTTAGTTCTCTGGTAAGTAATGCCTTGGACCTCAGGTTCGGTGCTTTGATTCCTCTGCAGCTAGAGTACGTTGTCTGTGGATCAGCTACTAGCGTACATTGTCCTCTGGTTCAGTGACGTGGCTCCTTGGCGATCAGCAGGCATTGACCTCAGGATCAGCAGTGTGGTTCCGGTGACGGCGAGGATTCCTTCCCTACAATCTTCCACCCTGGACACCCACAGGTTGACTCCTGGTCCTCAGCTGTGCGTGGTCACCTTGGTCACGTGGTTCTGGTATCTCTGGATCTTCTCCCGATGATTTTTGACGAGAGGAGATCCCAGACGAGCCCCCACAGTTTGTTACACATTTCAAACAGTGTGAAACAATTGTAACAAATGATGTTTGGTCTGGCCGGCCTCCCGTCTCAGCTTCTCACTCTGAGTGGAAACCTGGAAATATAAGATAATAATGTCCGTGAGTGAAGGAGCAAACTTCCATCTTCTTCCCCAAACTCGATCTGAGGAGGGAGGGGGGAGAGCTCCTCACTCAGGTATCCTGGGAAATGACATCCGTCCTCCTTTGGTTCGATCCTTTTCCCTTTTAGTTTTGACAATATTTCAGTCAGCTTCAGACCCAAAATAGAGTGTTGAAATTATTATTATTATTTTTATTTTTTTATATTTCTTGTCCCTTGCAGGTAACAATAAAATTATGTAATGATTTATACCCTTGATTTTCTTGTCTTGTAATAAACAAATTGTGGATAAAACTCTCAAAATAGAGTGTATTACACATACAACAAAGTCCATGCTCAATAGTCCAGGTATAAAATCCAACATTTTTCAGTCAGGTCATCTGGGCAGTTTTTTTTTTTTTTGTGTGCTGAAACGTTTTGCCTTCGGTCCGGAAGGCTTCATCAGTCAAGGAAACAAACAACAAAACTGATTCTTCCCCCAACAGCTTACTCCAAAGTGGAACAAACCAGTTCTGCCTGTGATAAGATGGTCTCTTTGGTACGCCCCTCCTCCATTGCCGGCCCTCTTCCTTGTTGACAGTCTTGTCAAACAGGTTGAAAACAACAAAGTCTATGCTCAATAATCCAGGTATACAGTCCAACATTTTTCAGCACAAAAAAAGAAACTGTCCAGATGACCTGACTGAAAAATGTTGGCATTAAGCATACAATTTAATTATGACAGAAAATAGATTTACCTGCAGTTACTTTCATAGAGATGAACATGTGGTAGCCACTTCCTGTTTATAACTTGTGATCAGCTGATGGGGTCGCTCCCCGGCTTTTTACATGTTTTCCAATCTCCATTTAATTTTTGAAAAAGAATAAACTGTATCACACCCTCTAAACTCTCAAGGTAACACATGTCTGGATTACCTGTTCTCCACTGACACCGTTTAACCATTTTGTTCTGGTGATTTTTCACAAGCCCCTCGAATAAGATACTTGAACCCCTCTGACTGTAGCAACCAGGCTGCAGCCTCAGGTAAGGGGCGTTTACCTTCGGGACAAATTGAGGTTACCGATTGGTCATTTGCTGACACGCCTACTGGATTGATTGACAGGTCGCGCAGAGGAGCCGGCTTGTGGGAAAAAGACAAACAGCTGCAGCCCAGGGCAGCCCAGGGCGGCCCAGGAGCAGCGGCAGTGTTCTGTGTTTATATGTTGTTAATAAAAAATTCTAAAAAATGAAAATAAAAAAACAGGGAGGGCCGGCCCTGCAGCCCACAAATCAGACCGGCCCAACGGGAATTCTCCAGACCCTCCCGATTGGCCACTCCGAGCCTGCCCGGGCCTTAACTTTGACAAATATGCTTTAGGTGTAGAGAGCCACAGAAATTGTTTTGGCGGGTCAGATTTAGCCCACGGACCTTGAGTTTGACATATGCAATCTAGTGGTACTAAAAGTAACAAAAGAAAGAAAATAAATCAACCAAAATATGTCTGCAGTTTAGCTAATAGACTTTGGAATGGGTACATTTTGTCCTTGTCAAACCTGCTGAAGAGAATCAAACTAAATACTCTGAAACTCAAAGAATTTACTATATGAAATTGTGAAATAACACTCAAATTTGTAACATATATGGTATGGTATAAACTTTTATTAATTTTAAAAAAGTACAAAACAATTCCATAACAATATAAAAAGATACAAAAGATTTAAAATGAAAGGCAGCAGAAAGAAGAAAAAATCTTATTACATCTGCCCCTTTTTTCAAACAATTATTTCAATCATAATAATTTTCAAATATATGTATATATATATATATATATCCCTAAATGGGGTGAAAGGAAAATTAGATATTCTTCCTCAAACTAAATCAGCTAATGCCTCCTTTTCAGAATGGTCAAGGGAAAATATGTTACCCAAAATAATACAGTTAGCATTATTTCAATAGGAATTATCGTCAGTAACTTTCAAACATATGAGTGGAGAAGGTCCAGCCCCTTGGCTTGAAAAGCACCTTGTGTGTGGGACATACGGCTGCAGCAGATCAGTGAGACAGGAGGGGGCAGAGCTGTTCAGTGATTTATAGACATACAAAAGTATTTTGAACTGGATTCAAAGGTGAACCAGTAGCCAGTGCAGGGAGGCCAAAACTGGAGTAATATGCTCTCTTTTACCTGTACTGGTGAAAAATTGAGCTGCCACATTCTGGACCAGTTGTAGTCTAGCAATGGAGGTCTGACCGATACCAAACAGGAGCGAGTTGCAGTAATCGAGGCTGGATGTAATGAATGCATGTATTACTGTCTCCAGGTTATTTTTGGACGATATGGGCTTCAGCTTAGACAGCCGCCTCAGCTGAAAAAAGCAGGATTTAACAATCATGTTAACATGACTGTTAAGTTTCATGGAAGGATCCATTATCACTCCCAGATTAGTGACTCTTTTTAGGTTGAGTAAATGAGCCAGAAGAACATGGCAACAGCTGTTCAAGAGAAGGCGCTTCATTCAGGACCTGTGTCCCATCCATGATTATCTTGATGTTGTTGAGTGGATGGAAAGGATCCTCTCTCCCAGTGACAAAGATCGCCATGGTTCATCACTGCTGTAACTTAATTTAGCAAACACAAGAATAACTATTACTTATGCAACTGTATAAATACTCAAGTAAAGTTTGATGTGGTTGCTACAAATACTTTGAGTGCTGACACATTGTATGAGATCTCACAATATTTTGTGAGATTGTGCATTTTCAAGGTTTGACCAAACAGATACAACTTCAACATTTCTCACAATAAAATGATCTGAACCTAAAACTCTGGCATGAAAGGTAGGTGGCAGGCGATAGGCTATGCATTACTTCAACCAGTGCTATAATTTTAATTCACCACATTTGTTTCTCAAGACTGTTTTAGCAGATGAATATGGTGAAAACCCAACACCAGAAGTAATTTTGAAAAACCTATTCATTATGTTTTCTTTCCTTGTCTTTGTAGAGAAATGTTTAAACTTCTTGCAGCATTTGCTGCAGCCTTGTTTTTTTGCATAAACATTTTTAAATAACAGCGGTTCCCTTTAGCGATTTTAGCACAACATTCTGATTTTTATTTATTTGTTCCTTCCACAGGGTAAGTGCTCCAAGACATGCTCAAACATCTTCATTGTGGAGACCGTGTGTGTGGCCTGGTTCTCCCTGGAGTTCTCCCTGCGCTTCATTCAGGACCGCAGGAAGCTGACTTTCCTCAGAAAGCCACTGAACCTGATTGATGTGGTGGCCATCCTGCCATACTACATCACCTTGCTGGTGGACAACACCTCCAAAGGGGAGAAGCGGCTGGGTTCTGGCAGCAGCTACCTGGACAAAGTGGGCTTGGTGCTGCGTGTCCTCAGGGCCCTGCGGATCCTCTACGTGATGCGATTGGCTCGGCACTCCCTGGGCTTGCAGACTCTTGGTATGACAGCCCGGCGCTGCACACGGGAGTTCGGACTGCTCCTCCTCTTCCTGTGTGTGGCCATCGCTTTGTATTCCCCGCTGCTGTTCTTGGTTGAGAATGAAATGGCCTCCACTCAAGAGTTCACAAGCATCCCTGCAACCTACTGGTGGGCTGTCATCACTATGACAACGGTGGGTTATGGAGACATGGTGCCAAGGAGCATCCCAGGTCAGGTGGTGGCTCTGAGCAGTATCCTGAGCGGGATTCTCCTGATGGCCTTCCCCGTCACCTCCATCTTCCACACCTTCTCTCGGTCCTACGTAGAGCTAAAGCAGGAACAGCAGAGGATCCTGCAGAGGAGGACACACTTCCTGCTGCGCAGCCGCATGGCTGAGCTGGGCAGCAATCTTTCCTTAGAGAGCGATCTTCTCTTCCGCATGCAGCCGTCTGACACAAGAGACCGGGACAACTGAGGCTGTTGAGACAAGAGAGGACATGAATCACTGAACAATATCACTGAACAATGACTGAAGCAACAAGGGACTTGTCAGTGTGTAACTACCAGAACATTAGCCTGACAAAGAGAGAGAAAGAGAGTGATGGTGAGGAGAGAAAAAAAATCACAGATGGGTTTGGTGCAGTGAAAAAATAAATGAGCAAGAGTGAATCTTTTTTTTTTTTTTTTTTTTTTTTTTCAGAAAAGCCACTTGGTGTGTAGCAGCATTCAACTTCAAGCAAAAATTACAAAATCACTTTCTGAAGAAGTTCATTGAGTGTTTTGTTTGAAAAGTCTTCTCAGCTACCACTTAGACACAAAACTGTTTTATTTAATAACTAAACGTCTGACTTTCTAAAGTTTACACATAAAAATACAAAAATTCTTATTAGTAATTTTTCCCAAAATCAATTCAGTTCAGTTCAGTTATTTATATAACACCAAATCACAACAAAGTTGTCTCAAAGCACTGAACAGAAACATTCACATACATAGAAAAGCCAATTAGTAAAGTTCTCTATCTAAGGACAACAGCAAAATCAAGTGGTGGAAAAAAAAAGTTATTTTAACAGATTAAATTAAACAGTCTGTATTAACCCTTAGCTGTATAAGTGGGTCAGAAATGACCTGGGTAGTTTGTTTTTGTGCAAAACCTTCATGATTAAAAGTTTTGTATCATTTCATATTCCATTTATTCCTCCAATAATGTTTAATTAAAACCAAAACAGTGATAAAGAGTCCTTATGCACCAGGAGCAATATGCACTGCATGTGCATTCAGGTTAGGCATCCATCAGCCAATTTCTCTGCTTCCCTGTCCACTCGAGGGAAATTTACATCCTCCTCCAGGCCTAGAGCACCTGGTTGTGCTGCCTGAAGGCTGCTATGTCTCTGACAATATGACGAGAAGTCAAACGCTGTAATAAGCAAGCCAGTCTGTCATGCCCATATCTCGATTTTTGTGAAATATTTATTTTTATATTTTGTCAAATATTTGCTAAGTTTTGCTATAATCAGCTCATCAGAACAACTTGTATGTCATTTAAGATCAGGTATAGCCCAAAGGCAACACCTCCAAGTCTGCCAAGCTGCCCTGGCAATGCCCTTGGTGGTGATTTCATTTTATTCATTTATACACACACACACTTACACACTAGGGTACAGTAATCAATTCATGACATTAACATGTGGCCATGTTCAGGAGTGGATGATTAGTTTTCATGTACATTTTTACACAGTTTGGACAATGTACAGGATTGTTAGCCCCATTGTTTTGTTTGACAGCAAAACAGTCAAATTTTTAACAATCCCACACCATGAGGATCTTTGGAAAACTGCTTATAACTTTTGTGTACCCTCCTTAATTTTTTATTTACCTTTCATATATCTTAAGATTAAAAAAATTAAAATAGCCTGTGTAAATTCCCTGTAGAATATCATGGGAATGCATGGATTAGGTTTTTATGTGCATCACACAGTTGGATTTCATCCCGTCATGCGAAGCATCACACTGAAAAATTTAGTCCACGCCCACCTGCTGTGTGGGCCCCACCCGGTCCGTATAAATTACGTTAAGAGCGGGTGATCGGCTCCCATTTTTTCTTCAGCGAGCTAATAGCACTGTCAGAAGAACGAAGAAGGAAAGTTGTATAGTTGACCAACCTTTGTTAAGAATGCTTGGCCCGTCACGTCAACCTCTGGTCGTCCTGGTGGGCTCTCTGCCCCAAGGAGTAGCTGACGAGCAGCCTTGTTTCAAGGTAAGCGCCGAGGAGTATTTCTCAGTGACAGGTCGCTACACGCTGGACAACGCCATCTTGTAATTTTCCTCTTATCGCCGACCCTCGGAGCGAATCGGATGGTTCCTCCGGAACAGGCGGCGTCAGCTGCAGCCCCCCGCTGCTCATTCCCGCCTGGAGAGCGTAGTGTCGGTGGAGGGGGGGCTGAGCGAATGCTCACCTCATCCCACCTCGTTTCGCATCGGCAATCACACGCTCCCGGCCGACGGCGCCCTCTGGGGTTGCCCAGCGTAACCCAGGAGGCTGCTGACATTAAGGGACCCTTTTTTACGTCCCGCGCCTTTCCCGCCAGTTCGGATGATCCGGCGGAAAGGTTTTTTCTAGGCTCCATTCCGGCTCGCCGTCCTGATCCCATCTGGCCTCGGTTTCCCAACAGGATGTCCTACGGGGACGAGGCCACAGCCGGCTTTCCTGGTAGATTGGGGGGCTGGTCTCCACAGTCCGCGCCCATCACCAGAGCAGAGGGGTTTCACCGAGCGGAAATTCCCTCAGTGCCCCCTGGAGTCGAGCCTGACGGAGGCTTTTCTCGGAGCAAGATGTCCAGGTGGACCAGCGTTCCGCGCCTCTGGTTAGCATAACCCAGATGGTGACACCGCTCTCCAACTGAGCTCACCAGCATGCGTTCCAGACGGCCGCAGCGAACAACACGTTACGCTGTTGGCGTACACGTTCAGAGGCGGGAGGAGACGTACGCTCCATCTGCAGGGAAGCTGACATCAGCCCCAACCGGTGCGCCACTTTGCTGTCTGCTGGCCCGCATCGCAGCCAGAGAACGAGGTCCCAGATGTTCTCCTGGCTCGTCACCCCACCTTCCTCTCAGGGGAGCTGCAGAAGCTTTTTGTTGGAGGGCCTTCATCAACTAGAGATCATTTTCAAGATGCTCCACAACTGCACAACGCCTCCCCAGCTCTGCTACGCCAGTCCCTTCCGTCAGACGTCCCCGGCTTCCTGGAAGTTCAACTTTTCCTGGACTCTGCCAACAGGGGGCCTTCTAGGACAACAAACCACGGAGCTGAGGGGAAGATAACCAGGTGTCGGTTTGCTGGATGTGTGTAGATGACACGATGTGGAAATAACATCATTTTATGATGAAGTGTTTAATAGCCAGGCTGTCAGCTCGGATGATCTGACAGCGGCTCCATCACACACACTCCTCACGAATGAGCCTTTTAGGTTGTTTCATTCACTGACGGTGGTGCCAACACGCGCCCCCGCGGCACGAGCAGCCTTCACCTATAAGGCGCTGCGTTATGAGAGCGCGCACGCAGTTCTCAACGCCTGCCGTTCACGTCAACGTAAAAGTGAGACCGCGGTACGAGCCCAGTAACGTATCTTGCTTTCGGCAGGAACGACACGCGTTTTCACCGCAGTGGTGTCAAATGCGCGCTCCTGCGGCGTCAACAGTTTTACAAGCTTCACAGCGGATTTGCTCCTTCATCCTCGAAAAAGGTTTTCTGAATTAATACTGCAGCTCGTGGAATCACTCAAAAGCTCATGTGATACGCAGCCAAGAATGAACGTGTTCTGCAGAACGAGCCCAGTGGTAACCTCGCCCCACCGATGCCGCACGCTGCTTCCTGAACGCACCAGCGTCAAACGCGCGCTCCCGCGGCAATCCTCGCTTAAGACGTCGCATCAATGAGGGCGCACACACACGACTCTTCAGGGCACGTCGGCTCAGACGTGCACCCGCTCTCCGAGCGTTTACACGGAGCAGTAGCACACAACTTGAGCACAGCACAGAGGAGCCGCGTCCCGCAGCATCAGCAAACGCACAAACGATTTGCATGCTCGGGGGCGCGTGTTTTTTCTTTCTCCTTCAGTGCGCACCAGCTCACATCAGCATGCATGTGAGCCCACAGCATAAACGCGTGCCCACTTTATAACTTTATAAACGAGTGGCAATGGGCGGGCGCTCCAGACGGATTGGTGAACCGTTTTTCATCAGGGGATTCACGCTCTAGTATAGCTCAACCCCGGTGCGGAGGAATTCTAGTGATGTTTTCTGTCATTTCTAGAACAGATCTCGTCCCCTCTCGCAGAAGCTGAGGAAATTCTGATTAATGTAATTTCCAGAGTCTCAGAAGGAGAGGAAAACAAAGGGTTCCTCTCTCGTCACTCCCTGGTCCCAACAAACTGGAAAGATGAGATTTATTCTAGGTTTGTCAATTTTGAACTGTGAGAAACAACATTCCATTAATGCGCCCGAGCCGCTCTGCAGCCGCCGCACAGAGCAGGGAGGAGAATTCTGCTTTATCTGGACATCTGCTGCTGCTGACCAGTTTGTACAGACAGGTGGCAGCAGTGCAACTCACGTGAAACCGGTAGAGTGACATCAGCTGTTTTTCCGTCAGCAGACCTACATCACACATGTCACACTTCACAGAGGCACATACATTTAATGAGCTGTGGAGGTGCCGTGGTTCTCCACACAACAGCTCATTTTAATGTTTTTGGAGTGTCGTACGGGGTTTGAATGTGAATCAACACTTTGCCTCTGTGCTACGGAATCATCAGGGTTTTTTGATTCACACAGACAGCAAGTGACTGTTGCATACATAACTGGCAGGAGATGTATGCGCTCATCCAATGTGCCACATTGTGAGACAGATGCTGTGTGGGGCACACCCAATCTGCTCTCCATTGGAGTAGGGTACATCTCCTGTGTTCTGAACAGGGGACGGATGTGATGTCCAAAGATGGTCTTTTGTGGCACGGGGACCGGGGACCTTCCATCCATAGCTGATGACTCAGACGCAGCAGAAATCCTGTGAGCGGCTGTGGACCTGTTGTAACACAAGAGAACGCTCGATGTCAACTATAATTATCATGGAGCCCATGGGACGATCCACCGCTAGGTGTGGACGCGTTTGCTCACAGCCTGTGGTCGTAATGCTTCTTCACCTCCCTCACTACCTCTGATATCACGGTTTTTTGAACCAAGCTCAAGAGGAGGGACTGACAGCTCTTCTGTCCGAAGTGCGTGAACGCATCATGGTCCCCAGTCCTACGACACTTGTTATCGGGGCGCTCGTGGAACCTGCCATAGAGGGAGGATGCTCTCCTCCAGGCGGGAGGAGCGATTAGGAGTTAATCAGAATAGGCCAGCACCTTTGGTCTGGCTGCTGAGCGGATCCTTTTGAAAGTATGGATCTCTCTCAAGATGTAGTGCGTACGATTCA